TCCCTGGTGTCCCAGTGTCCCTGGTGTCCCAGTGTCCCTGGTGTCCCAGGCTTTCCCTCCGTGCTGAGGAGCCCGGGGCACATTCCAGGAGTTATCCCCGGGCTCAGAGATCCTCGTGGCCTCGGGATTTCCAGGCAGCGGAGCAGGGCAGCGTGAGGGAGGCAGTGCCAGGATCTGCTCCTCACCTCGTGTTCCAGGAGCCTCCCAGGGGCAGGACCTCACTCTTGGCTTCTGCTCTCCACGTTTCAAACCCAAACAGAGGAGCGGCCTTGGCCGGGTGTGAATCAGCGCCGGCGCTTGTCTGGCTCCAGCCAAACCCAGTTCCAGCACCAGCAGAGCAGGGCTTTGAGCCTGGTTTTGTTCACACATTTCCTGCTGGCTCAGCTGCTGCGGTGCTGTCCCAGAAGGTGTTTCCCGAGCTTTCCCCTCCGCTGGGATGCAGAGCACCCAGGGGTTTGGAAGTGCTCCGCTCTTTGCCCACCAGCTCCCGAGCTTGGCGGAAGGAGCGCGGGCAGTTCCATTTTGGCTGAAATGGAGCTTCCAGAGCAGAACCGGCCAAGTCACAGGACCCTCTTTGCCCCAGAACGTTCCTCATCACTGGAATATTTGAGATGCTTACCCGATGACCCGCAGGGCTCTTTCCAAATCTGCGTGGTGTCTGGCATGGGAAAGGGGCCGGGGCGGAGCGGGGCGTGGAGGATGATGGATGGGGCAGGGACGGAACACAAACTCCCCCCGATACTCATCGCCGCAGCACGAAGCCGGGCAGGGACGGCCCAGACGTGTCCAAGAGCAGAGCTGGGTCCAAGAGGCTCCGTGTGGAATGTAAACATTATCCCTGCCAGGGAAAAAGCAGTTTACTGCAGCCCCAGAGCCGGTGAGGCAAAGCCCTGGCAGGGAGGTGGAGGAATGAGCAGAATGGAGGCGCAGGGCAGGGGGACGGGACAGCAGGGACGGGGGACACCGAAGGCAGGTCACCTGCAGGGAGCTGTGGCCAGGACGCTCCAGGGGTGGGGCCTGACCCCGTGCCNGGGGACGGGACAGCAGGGACGGGGGACACCGAAGGCAGGTCACCTGCAGGGAGCTGTGGCCAGGACGCTCCAGGGGTGGGGCCTGACCCCGTGCCTGCAGCGAGCCCTGGCCCAGCAGCGACGTCCTTTTGGGGTGAGCAAGAGCAAAAAGCAGCTCAGGCGCTGCTGCCCGGCTGCTGCACGCCGGGGCAGGGCAGGGGCTGCTCCTCACAGGGGCTCCCCTTGACCCAAAATGAGATCTCCCCTTGGACCCAAAATGAGATCTCCCTTGGACCCAAAATGAGATCTCCCTTGGACCCAAAATGAGATCTCCCCTTGGACCCAAAATGAGATCTCTCTTGTACCCAAAATGAGATCTCCCCTTGACCCAAAATGAAATCTCCCTTGTACCCAAAATGAGATCTCCCCTTGGACCCAAAATGAAATCTCCCTTGTACCCAAAATGAAATCTCCCCTGGGACCCAAAATGAGATCTCCCCTTGGACCCAAAATGAGATCTCCCCTGGGACCCAAAATGAAATCTCCCTTGTACCCAAAATGAGATCTCCCCTTGGACCCAAAATGAGATCTCCCCTTGGACCCAAAATGAAATCTCCCCTTGGACCCAAAATGAGATCTCCCCTTGGACCCAAAATGAAATCTCCCTTGTACCCAAAATGAGATCTCTCTTGTACCCAAAATGAGATCTCCCCTTGGACCCAAAATGAAATCTCCCCTGGGACCCAAAATGAAATCTCCCCTGGGACCCAAAATGAGATCTCCCTTGTACCCAAAATGAAATCTCCCCTTGTACCCAAAATGAGATCTCCCTTGTACCCAAAATGAAATCTCCCCTTGGACCCAAAATGAGATCTCCCCTTGGACCCAAAATGAAATCTCCCCTTGTACCCAAAATGAGATCTCCCTTGTACCCAAAATGAAATCTCCCCTTGTACCCAAAATGAGATCTCTCTTGTACCCAAAATGAGATCTCCCTTGTACCCAAAATGAGATCTCTCTTGTACCCAAAATGAAATGTCCCTTGTACCCAAAATGCGATGCTCCCCTGCTAACCTCTCTTCCCTGTCTGCAGGTTAGGAGGGGCCGCAGGCTGGGCAGCAGCTCAGGTAAGGATGGACACTGTCCCACCTCCAGCAGCTCCTGGGGCTCTGTCCCCTCCTGACCCCGCACCAGGAAGGTCCCGCCTGCCCATCCCTCCGCAGGGCCCACAGGGATGTTTTCCTCAGAATTCTGGAATGGGTTGGGTGGGAAGGGACCTCAGAGTCCCCAGTGCCACCCCTGCCATGGCAGGGACACTTTCCACTGTCCCAGGGTGTCCCAGTGTCCAGCCTGGCCTGGGCACTGCCAGGGATGCAGGAGCAGCCACAGCTCCCTGGGAATTCCATCCCAGCCCTGCCCACCCTGCCAGGGAACAATTCCCAATTCCCAATCTCCCAGCCAGCCCTGCCCTCTGGCACTGGGAGCCATTCCCTGGGTCCTGCCAGGGAACAATTCCCAATTCCCAGTCTCCCACCCAGCCCTGCCCTCTGGCACTGGGAGCCATTCCCTGGCTCCTGTCCCTCCATCCTTGTCCCCAGTCCCTCTGCAGCTCTCCTGGAGCCCCTCTAGGCCCTGCCAGGGGCTCTGAGCTCTGCCCAGTGGGAAAACACCGACACCAGCTCTGCCAGCCTTATCTCCCATTGTATTGTCACCTCTGTAACAGGAAACAGGAGCCCCTGGTGATGGACACTGTCCAGACAAACCCAAAATCCACTGTGTGCCCCCCAGAAAGGCTCTCAGTCAATAAGGAGGCACAGCAGACGGACAGACAGACAGACAGGTGCGCCGAGAGCAGGAGGGCAGGGCTGGAGCCCGGAGATCTCCAGGGAGATCCTTATCTCCCCCACCTGAAAAGCTGCGAGGAGCGGGCTCGGGTTTCCACCCCCTCTGGAAGTTTGCCACAACGCCCATCACCCCCCACTCCCGGTGGGCTGGAGGAGAAAATCCTCCCCGGGTCGCCAGGAGCAGGAGGGGATGGGGACAGCAGGGACCTTCCTCTGCCACCTCTCCCCTCTCCCGGGTGACTGCAGGGAGCAGGCAGGAGAAATCCTTTCGCCTTTCCCTGCCGCCCTGGCCAAGGCCAGGAGAATCGCTGCTGCACCCAACGCAGGATTGGGTGGGATAAACCCAGCAGCAGCGTCCTCTGCAAAGTGGAAAAAGGGGATTTGCCCTTCCCAGCGCCCGGCAGCGCAAGGAGAGAGCCCCAGAGGGGCCGGGCAGTGTCTCAGACAGTTTTTACATTAGAAATTCAAGTCCTGCCCGATCTGGGAAACAATCTGGTAACTCAAGAACAGTGAAATTGCAGCGGTGGAGGGGCGGGCAGCCGGCGCCCAGGGAGGCTTTTGCTCCAAGCTCTGAAAGGCTCTGGAGAAGGGGACGGGAGGGACCCTGGCACCCCCGGGCTGGACGGGGCAGGAGGAGCCCCGGTTCCCCCGGAGAAGCCCCAGTTCCCCCGGAGGAGCCCCAGTTCCCCCGGGGAGCCCCAGTTCCCCCGGAGAAGCCCCAGTTCCCCCGGGAGGAGTCCCAGTTCCCCCCGAGCCCAGCGGGACCCCCAGCACCAGCCAGGAGCAGCACCGAGTGAAGCCCACTGAGAAATGAGGGAGAGGAACCAGCCGGGTGCCTCGATCCTACAGAAAAAACGGGAAAGGACAAAAGAAAAGCAGAAATAATCCTTTACACGGCGGTGGCTCTTCCAGCAGGGAGAATTTCCCCACGGAAAGGGTGCCCAGGCCTCGGCAGGGGCTGCCCAGGGAGGCTTGGAGGTGTCCAGGGAAGGCCTGGACGTGGCTCTGGGCTGGGGACGAGGTGGGGATTGCACCTGGTGACCCTGGAGCTCTTTCCTGACCTCAGTGATTCCCCAAGTTCCTCCCAGTGCCGTGTGTGGTGCCAGGAGCACTGGGTGCTGCTGGTGGAGGGGGTGTCCAGCTCTGGAGCAGCTCCAGGGGCTTCCAGCCTGCAGATCCTGGGGGGCCAAAGCCCCCAGCCCCACCTCACCTGGCTGGCAGAGTCACCCTAGGCCTGCCCTGGCCCAGCCTGAGCCCATTTCCCCTTGTCCTGTCCCTGTTCCCTGGGAATAGATCCCAAATCCCCCCTGGCTGTCCCCTCCTG